AGTGTAGTCACTCAGTGAGTTGATTGTTGTATTCCTTAACTGCTTGTATTCAGTTGTGTTTCAGTTACAGTTGTTATCAACATGGGGTGATCCTTATTACATTGGTCTCAATGGACTGGAATTTTATGATGATCATGGTCAACGTATAGCTCTAACACAAAGCAGTATCCTTATTATATTTACAAGGAATTTACAATATTGTTGAAAACATTATTTTTACAGTAAAATTGGGCATTTTAGTATGTAAAAGTGCCATAGTTTGATTTGTGCAGTGGATGTTAGAATTTTGTGCACCATATTTGACATGTGTTGTATAAGTCACATGGAATGCATATCAAACACAACATGGAACTATGACGCTGTAACCCTTTGAATGCCAAAGTTGATTTTTGTCTTTTTTTACAAACTAAACTAAACATCATAATGTTTTCTATATGTTTTTAAAATTGTGATCAACACCTCTAGCCAATAAAAAAGTATGTATATCTGGTATAAAATTAACAAAGAAATTATGGAAAAATAAATAAACTAATTATGAACGTTTCACAGTGCTGCCATATTGGATGAGTTGCCAGTTCTATATAAGATTGTGTGCAAATGTGAGGAGTAGTTGCTATTGAGTTGTGTGGAATAGACTTTGACTGGTAGCCATACTTGTCTGTTTGCAACCATTCTGTTTTGGGATTAATCTGAACCAATTTTTCAAGATTTTGGCAAAGATGGTCATATTGGGTTACAGTTTATTATTACATCACCACGCCTGCTGAAAGCTTCCATGAATAGTCTATGTGAATGGTATAAATGGCATTAGCAAGCAATGTTTTCTCACTTTTTTTAATAGTTAATAAATTCAATCAAAGTTTGTTATTTTGAATTCTATTTTGATGGCATGCACAATACATAATTGAAAGAATTGAAAGAAATAATTGGAAACTCATAGTAGCTGCTGGCATAAGAAGTATTAAAAATGTGAGAAAAGACTTCACTGTTTAAACAGCATGCTGAATACTTTGTCATATAAAAGTAAACATGTACTGTATATGTGACTTGAACTGGCATCTAATCACCTACATGTAGTGTCACATCAGATCAAGTCTTCCCCTTGGCCACTTTGATTGTCATTTACCGGTATAATGACTTGTTAATATGACAGTACAGTTATTATCCTGATTTCTATCACTAAGACATTGCTGCCTATCCTGCTAGTGTTAATGTCTTGGAAGGTGTGGAGAATGACGTCAGAACTCCAGATAAATTAATAGATGGTATGAATGATACAATGGATGGAAGACACATGTGGTTATCACCTATGCTACCTAACGTGGTAAGTGTTCATGGATTCTTTCACTGAAACATTGGGTTCAAACAGTTTTGATATTTTGCAGTTTTATCATTTCGTCATTTCATACATAAGAAAAGTCTCGCTAATTACTGCTTTCAGGAGAATAAAAAAAAGTTTTGTTTCTCGGCATTGCATGTGTCAGCTTAAAACCTGTCACACATTTTGTTTTGTAATTTCACATACAAGTGAAGTGTGCCACATACAGTAGAATAAGGAAATGTTTGTTTTCTGTTTCAGAGGATGTTTCGTTGATTTAAATCAACCTTTAATGCATGTATTATTTGTTATTATTGTTTATCTTTTTGTTGTAGTATTGAATATTATTATACATCTGTCACCGTAACGCCATAAGTTACAGCATGTCGTAATTTTGTGGTATTGCACTGGGTATTTTCATCCTATCATATTAGGAAACACGAATTCCAAATATGGAACGATTATGCGCGTAAGTGGCCTCTAATAATAAAAAACAAACATGGCTGCCCCCAGTGTTTGACCGAACCCCACACGAAGAAGTTCGCTAAATCTGCTCTAACCGTTTTGGAATTAGGCATTCCCATGATGTATTTCTTGGAGGAAAAGATGTATAATAATAAGGTTATTACGAGAATACTGCAATGTATGCACTCAGACAGTACAGTGGAACGCGCAACCGTGTACTGTCTGAGTGCATACTTTGCAGTATCCTCAATTTCCCCCCAGGAATATATCATGGGAATGCAATAAATCCAAAACGGTTAGAGCAGATTCTAAAATCGCATCATTTTTCAATTTCCCTGGACAAGAAATAAACTTTGTTTCTGGGTGGCTACAGCTTCCTTATCCTCCTAATGGTTGAGAAATCTCATCAGAGAGGAAATTAGAGTGTCAAAGGAAACAAATCCTCAATATACACACTTGCACTGTGTCTATAAAGAGACTTACAGATGGACACACTACTAACAGATAATTTAAATATTATATCCTTTTTTCCCTTTTAGATTAATTTGGTGTATGTGATTTTTGACCAGCCGATGACTGTGTCTATGATAAAGCTATGGAATTACAGTAAAACATCAACCAGAGGTGTTAAAGAGTTTGCTGTAAGTCACTGTTTATTTACTCATAAATGTATTCACTATTAAAGATTAATGACATTCAAGTTGTTTTTGGGAAGGGTGCAGTTTATTCTTCAACAGTAAATTCAAAACCACCAATAGAAGAAGCACAGCATTACACTGTTCTGAATGAAATTATGCAATGCTATGATTTTCTGTGATCAAAACCATGCGAGTAGACGTCAGTATGTTAACCTTTACAATTAGTAGGCTTTCAATCTGTTGTGTATAATAACTTTGAAGTTTGTGAGAAATTTTCAGTAATTAGCCATGATCAAAGCCTTAACTATGCGTTGTCTATTTTTAGTTGTTAGTAGATGATCTATTGATCTATAATGGTACATTGGGTCAGGTTACGCAGGCAGCAAGAGGCATCCTCCCAACTTGTGAGGCTCCAATACAATACCATACTATACTCTTCACCAACAATAAGCACATTTATGAAAAAGAAAAACGTACAGTTATAAGGTAAGATTTGGTGTTTTTATCAGGTAATCTGATTAAGTATGGCCGACTGGTTGACATTTTGGTCGTAAAAATAAATAAATCATAATCCTTGAATATGTCCGCTACTGTTTTTCAGAAATGACTTGATCAATTGCAATCAATGCAAACTTGGGTATGATGATATTACATACTGTAAAATATGTTATTTTTGCGCTGAATATATTTTTGCTGAAGTTATGCTTCAGTAAAAAGTAAAATCCAGCGAATATACCTTTTTTGCTATATTTTACATTGAACTCATCAAAAATCAGTGAAAATAAACTCCATACAAAACACCCAAAATGTCTTGTCAGCAAAAATGAATTCCAGCTAAAATAAAGTATTTTACAGTAATGGATTGCAGGTACACATGATTCAATATGACTGAATGGTAACCTGCATATGATATAAATAACTATTGTTAACACTGAAGTGATTTGTTTCCATTCACCATTGATTGAGGCAAAATTTTATTGGTAGAATACTTCTGAGGCAGATGTCCAACTATTTTTAAAACTTGGATGAATTCCATAGTCATTACTGGCATTCATTCTCTAAATGTGCATGTCTAGTGATTGTTGAGAATTTGATGCTTCGCCACCATACAACCATTTGTTATTGAGGTGTGTGTTTGTTTGTTCATACTTTACTTTGCACTGTACTATGGTCTACCATTAAAGCCTTTCATATTGTACAACATTGTTTTGTCATTATTGTCACTACCCAATAAAATATCGTGTGTTGCAGGTTTTCATTTCATTGACAACTTTATTGATTTTTTTTTTAGCAATCAAAACAAAGATCAAGATGTGCAGCTAACTAATGATAGCCGTATAATGGCACATTACAATGATCCACAGAATAATCCCACAGTAGACCAAGGTATGTATTCATGTGACCACTCCACTGTCATACATGTATATGTTTATATAACTCTAACAGGAGTGCGTGCGTTTGTCTTGTCAAAGTTGTGACGACTTCCATTTAACTTTACATCTACCAAATGATGATAAACCTACCAAGTGACGACCCTCACTATTTTTCATAATTTATATTAATATTTAATCAAATTTAAGTCAAGTTTGCGAAGTTTAGGTTTAGTAAAGGGGGAAGGTGTGGTTCAATAAATTGAACCATACCATACATTTGTACCCTTTACTAAACCTAAGCTTAGGAAATATTTCTATGTTAAGTCGCGCTGTCGACTTTGTCGAGTTGATCAATATTTTTGTCATTTTTGGTAAAAAGTGGTATTTTCGACTTTTTGTTAAAAACCGCAGGTCTGATTGCCTTGATATTATACATATAGGTACCTCAGGTAGACCTCTCTCAGGTTTGCTCATTTCTTGTTCATATCTTCAATTCTCTAATTTTTGGTAAAAAGTGATATATTTGACGCGAAAATAGCGAAAATTAATTCCAAGCGAAAATAAAGTATTCTACATTAGAACATTGTTGTTCAATGAGAGCTTATTGATGACTGAATGAGAAATGTTCCATCCTGGTATGATAGCGCCCTCAAGTGCAAATCCCTCTAGAGAGAAGTAAGGCCATTGAGGGCATAGTCCATGGCCTTTGAATACATTCCTAGTGAGAGAACATTGCTGGGAACATTTGTTACACAAATTCACATGGAAATCACATTACATCTCAATATACATGGTATTTGGCAGCATATGCAACACCTCTCCAGGGAAAAGTAGCATCTTTTGGATGACATGGGATTTCTATTCAAATATGCTAACTTTTCCCCCCGGGACATCTTACATTCATGACTGAATACCCTAGTTTGCCATTTGTAACCTCTGAGTAAATGTATGTTTACTCTACAGCTGCTGTGATATTATTTAAGTTTAATAATTTTAGTTCATTGTCAGTTTATGTTTGATTTTTATTTTCAGCATTGAGGCCTAAGACAAGTGTACCAGCTTCTGTAAGAAAGAAATTTCCAAGATTTTGATGCAACTGATACTAAAGACTAAAGTTGAAGTAAATAATCATAACCCATTGGACAAGTTTTACTTTTCAGTAAATGTTAGGAGTACTTCAGTGTTTGGTGGCGCTGTTCACACCTACAGGCAGATTAACTTAGCCTCGCATATTTTCTGGAACTGATTGTAGCCATGAGGCTTAACAGAGTGGGGCCATTAGACGAAGATATGGGTCCCATGTGACATATACAAAGCATGTGAAATTATACAATTTGTTTGTTTGCACCACGACCTCAACCCTTTAACCTCCTTCTTATTATGAATACCAATGTACCACATGTTGTGTACACTTTGTGATCCATCTTGAGCTGCTCTGTCCTGCATGGTGTACTCACGATGGAGACAATGTAAAGTAATTTTTTTTAAATTGCTGATTGTAGATGTCCATCAATGCAAACATGCACGCTCTGGTCATTGATCCTTTGACGCTGACATTGAATGTATTCTGAATATATATGCACAAATATTTGAATTCAAATCACAACTTTACGGATTACATTGTAATAATATCTAATGTGTGTTACATGTTCATATCAACCGGTTATGAGCAGTAGAATCCCTTGAACTTGATGGCTATATATATTGTAGATGTGCTGTTCTTTTAAGTGCTATTTACAGCTTTTATGCATATCTCAAATTTGTGTTGCTGATTTATTTGTATATTTTGTATACTTTTAGAAAAAGTTAGTTCACTTGTTATACTTGTATTAAAATGTAATTATTTTAAATTTGTATATAGGCTAGTTATTACAATAAATAAATGTACATGTTTCTTTACCTGGTATATCAGTATTTATGTACAATACTTTCAGTGTTCAGACATTGTGCTATTTGATGCTTTTGTGCCATTGTCACATTGAACCCCTGGTTCATATTATTCTCTGTATTTAAAGCAGAGGGGTCGTTACTTGCGTAGAAATTGGAATTGAGTCCTGAGCATCAACAACATTGCATGCGAAAAATGCAAAGGCTGATGGGTAAATGGTTATTTGTAAACAATGACACTCAATGGTTGTCTGTTGTGTACACAGGTGACGAATCCCCCACTTGAATCATCCACCATCTCTGAAACCATTGGAACCCTAGCACTGTGATGTTAGGCTGCACCAGTCTGTCTGCAATTATTATTCACCATCACTGAAACCATTGGAACCCTAGCACTGTGATGTTAGGCTGCACCAGTCTGTCTGCAATTATTATTCACCATCACTGAAACCATTGGAACCCTAGCACTGTGATGTTAGGCTGCACCAGTCTGTCTGCAATTATTATTCACCATCTCTGAAACCATTGGAACCCTAGCACTGTGATGTTAGGCTGCACCAGTCTGTGTGCAATTATTATTCACCATCACTGAAAACCTTAGAAATGTTCCTGAGACTTCAAAAGCGGAAAATCCCGATCTCAGACCATTCTATACTCTCTGCATGGTGGATTGTGGTCGCTAGTAAAATAATCACCACTAATGAATCAACCCAGATAAGGCTTAAGTTATATTAGACTAGGTTATTGCATTGCGATACAGAGGGTGATAGTCCCTTACAATGGCATAGTAAGCTATATGGCTCAGTGCTATGTTTCAAATGCCAAAAACAATTTTAATGATTCTTGATCTGTCTTAATCCAATCATAAAAAAAAGAACATTTTACCATGGCGTTTCTGCAGACATACATTTTGTTGGGTTTACAGGCACTGTGGAGACAACAGTATATGATGCAATGTTCAACAAGACAATTGACATAGATTTTAGGATGCACTCCCATAGTGGTCCTCCTAAGTCTTTGATTTTAACCAAGTCAAGTATAATTGTCATCACAGATGCTCTTGGACCTGGATGGAGGTTCATGTATTAGATGTAAGAGCTAGTGGTCTCTGGTGAACATCCATTGGGAGGGAGGGAAGGAAGGATACTAATTGACATTGTGTTGACACTTCATCAGGCATGTCATCACAATCATTTTGCTGTTTTGCCGTGGCATGTTTCTGGGGACTCTTTTGTCCAATAAAGAAAGCACTTCTGATTTTCTTTCCTGATGTTGCAAGATTTTGAGCAAACAGCACATTCAGCAGCATTAATTCTGGGTGCTGGGCCCTCTACCTGAGCAACCCAAGTTAGACCTATTGTTCTCACTAGTGAGTTGCCCATTTAACAGGCTAGTCTTATGCTACCTTCCAGGATGTGATTTACCAGTGATTGTCCTCAAACCTACCCTTGAACTCCAGGTATATAGCGTCCAGGGAACACCCAGTTTCAATTCAACTGTAAACCACTGGACCCAAGGGAGAGGAGTTATTTCCATGGATGATGGATTATCATCCTTCAACTCACTCTGATTAATGACCATGAATGTTATGCTTTTGTAGTATGTATGTCTCCATGACAACAATATCCTTAATGCATATCATGTAAGGATAAATGAGTCTAAGTGTGAAGGAGGCTATTATAGTGTTACAGATAAACCACATTTGCTTTTATAAAATCAAAAAGCTCACCACTCTCGGCACACCACTTATCAACCTTTACATCAGTATCATCTACAGCTATTTTGCCTTGCAAATTGGACCCAAATTACAGACTTTCAGCAGTCCTTGCTTACAGGAACAACATAACTTATCTCCAAGATTTTCACTCAAAACGACACCACGTGAATCACTATACGACCTAAAATTTTACAATTATTTTGATTTGTTGATTTGCAATGTCTCCCATCTCATCTCTTAGCATGGTTTGGTGTAGCTATTGAGACTTGTTGTCATCGAATCTCTGCTAGGGAACTCGTTATGAAAGGATTCCATCTTACTAAACTACAGCACTTGAACAATGCCTTTGTAGCTAGCACTGTGAGCCTGACTGTCCTTGATCGAATGTTGCTGGTCGGGTTGATGGTATCTAGGCACCATCTGGGCACCTAGTATACATGCAACTGTCTGATATAAACCTAGAATAACCCAGTTCAATGATAGAGGAATTTATGACAATATTAACAGAGTACAAAAGACATGATTGAGAGGATCCCCATGCAAATTTAATTCAAAAGTCAATTGGATTCTCTAATACAACAATTGGAAGGTGGCATGGAGTCTGGCAAAGCCAGTACACGTTCTGTTCAATGCCAATTCTGTGGTTTGAATGGGCAGCTCAACACTTTGGTGCAACCATCATTCCTCAGAATTAGCAGTCCGCCACGGGAACTAGGCGCATTGTATTGCTTTGTGGACATTCACAACGTTTGTACACCATTTCATAGAGAAGCATATGCCAACACCAGAAACACAATTGATCCACATTATTATTCTGATCCCCTTGTTTCTGTTCTACTCTACCACTGCACATTCTAGTGGGCCTACGCTTATGTCTGGATCAGTGGTGAAGTGAAATTATGGTCAAGTTCACATCAGTGATAAAATACCATATTTCTCATTCACCCCTGAGAGTGAAATATCCATTTGGCGTGCTATTAAGCAACCCAGAGTAGGTATGTACAACATTGGCAAAGGTTGCAGCCTTATTAGACAAGGGTGTCATCCAAGGATGTATGCATTCGGGTTATAATGCTCACCTGTAATATGTGCCAAATGCATCAGGTGAATTAGAACCAGTCATGAACCTGTTTCCACTCAATCAGCATGTGGTGGTTACACGATGGTGTATTTGTTCTAATTTGGCAGCCGCACTAAATCAGCACAGTCAATACCTGGTTTGCGATCATATCACAATTCTCTGTACCATTGCATCATTGGTGTTCACAAACATGTGCAAGTCGCTGATAGTTTAACTCCAATCCCAGGCTTCTTTGTGTATCTTTGTGTAATGCTATAACCGATCTAACTCAACAAACGGAGCATTACAGTTATTGGTGTTCACAGCACCTTGTCTATCCTTTTTATTCCTAATGGATTTGCCGGGTGGATTTGGCGGCAAATACATGGCATAATTCATCCGTGTGTTAGGCAAGACAGCCCTTACCATAATCTTGAGGCTAGCCAGGATAAGCATTTCCGAGATTGATGCAGTTCAGTCCTTTACATGGTCTGGGACTCCTTTCACAGCCTAGACTCATTATCCCCCTTTGGTTTCTATTGTTCTAGTCCACTTAGGTGTGTGCCTCACATTAAGATGCATCTCTTGCCCACTGGTCTCTAAATTGTATGGCCTCTATAAGGATTATTCTCGGATGACAAATTCACGAACAATATGACTAAACAACCTCTTTAGGGCTAAGAACCTAATATCTCATGAACATTCCATATCCATTAACATCCGTGGAATAAAATCAATTGTTTTCTTCACCGGGAAAAAAAATGTGCTTACACTGTCGACAGTCGGTCGTACTTAGTAATAACCTGTTTTATTAATAAATATTGTGTATAAACGTGATAGGCGTGAATAAATTGCGAACGCCGGGACAGGAAGTACGGAGAGCTGTTATTTGTTCGCATATCATCACAGTGCTGCGTCTGAGAATATCAAATATAACTTTCGTGTAACTTGTTCGTTGCTACATGGAACTATATAGTTCCATGGTTGCTATCAGCACGGTCAAACTTACGTAATGTTGTCACTCACCACCATGCCAAATCTACTTCTGTAATTGTTCATGGAATGTTTGTTTGTTATAGTAGATCACAATGCCACTATAGTTTATTGATGTTCTGGGTAATTATATATGAAAATCGTGTTTTAGAGACAAAAATACTAAATTTATGACTGTCATTACAAATTATCAGAATATCAATGTCACAATTTGAATAAATTATTCTTTAATTTATTTTCAACAGACAATTGATGTAGATTTGAATATCCAATTATCCTGTGGGTTCATACGAACAATTGCATGCATTTCATTTATTTTCGGGAAAATTTGCTACTTAAAATCCTCGGGGGAATAGACGTATACGATTGCTCTCAAAACCAGTGAATGTATGTTTCTGTACTATGAGGTTATTGACTGTTAGGATAAACCAGATTAGATGTTGTCATATTCCATGTCTGTACTGTAACGTTGTTGACTGGTAGGATCAAGCAGGTCAGATGTTATCACTTCTGTCTGTCTGATATCAGTCGTGGTACATTGTACTATTCCACTGTACTCCATTATGATAATATGCCTGTAAAATACGGATTATGTCCCAGGTATTGCGTCAATGAGGGATTATTTAAAGCTCCCAAACTCAACGAGCACGTTGTTTTAGGCAAGCCATCGTAACTTTAATGGAATTTGACAAGGTTTTTATGGTGTTGCATTAACTGAGGTTAATGGAGGTCATCAACAATCATGTATCACACATTGGGTCTTGCCGACGTGGATAACCTCGTTCTCACCTGGATTATGGCAGTCTAAGTGTCAGTCTACTTCATAGCCTCTTAATATCGACACACGCACACAATATTGCATGATATTTATGTGAATGTTTTAATACATACAATTATTTATATATAATTTGAGCAAGGTATTATTAAGACCTATAATATTAAAAAACGAGATAATTAAAACACACGGATTATCTAATAATTAATGCATCAAAAATACAAAGGCTGTAAGTTGCAGGCGACAACTTGAATGAAGCGTACACGAGGAAACTGAGGGCACGATTCGATTCGTTACCAAGCGCGTATTTGTGAACGGGCAAAAGACTGTCATAATCATTACCTGATTGGTTACCCAGCCCAAACAGACCAATCAGAGAGCAGATTGTTTGCTGACAAGCATTTTCGACGTATCAAATCCTGCCTTGTATATATGCTTCGATTCAACTGAAATCACGTGGTTGCTGT